TCAGATGATAGCAGGGCTGGGAGCACTTCACTAAGTACATCTGTATAGTCCATCCTTATTAAAGGGTCGTGTCGAGAAACAAGGCACCTTAAGTACTACAATATATTGGGTTGGCTCAGAGCCTCGTAGAGATACTGTAGAGCTCCACCTATCCACTAAGAAGCCATTTGCCTGTCTGTCTTGACAACGGCAAATGTTTAAATGGTTAGAAGAAAGTATTTATTCAGAATGAACTCAGATTGGTCAAGAGAATTCTTTCTGTGTGAAACAGCCTTAGTGGTCTCTTGGATTTGCTGGTAGATGAGTATCCTCAGTTTCACACACACACACGAGCTTGTCTTTTTATGCACTTCCAGCTTTTCACTGTATTTTGCTTCTTATCTCAGCTGTTCGTTATGGTGTTGTGCAGCAGCCTTTGCACTCCCCTTGGGAAGCTGTGCTTTCCTAACAATTCGCTGTGTGGGCAGCTTCAGCCAAGAGACGCTAGCCAGGTCCCTGCCCAATGTGAAAGGGAGCACAAGGATGTAACACAAGTACCCCACACAGGGTGATGATGAATAGTTAAGGAAAAGGAATAGAAGTAAATTGAGGCAAGCCAACTAGTTTCTGCTGCAAGGCTCTGGACTGAGGTTTCCAAGGGACAGAGTGTCAATTTAGCTAATTGTTCACACTGTTGTGATACACCACCTATGACAAAAAAGGGTTAGTTCCTGCCAGAAGTAACTGAGAGGAGGTTTTAAGTTTTTCCCTTCTTGCATAGGCCAGGCTTGAACTGATCTCTGTCAAAAAGCCTTGTAGCATTAAAACAGAGATGGCCATTAGTGAAATGTTATGCTACCAAATGAAACTGAAGGTTGAGAAATCAGTTACAAGTAGGGGGAAACGAGCTGTATTACAGAAAATGTTAATGATATATGGACACTACTGTAAGTGTATGCAGAAAGTATTACATTCAATTCGGAAATTTGTTTTCCCACAGTAGCAGGAAGATTACTGAAGCAAATCAAGAGCTGTCAAAGACACTGATAATTCTCTGTCATTTCTTTCTTGCATCATTTCTGTGAAATTATGCCTTTATAGCCTTGTAGCCCTGTAAATACCGTGTTCCTATTACTTGCAACAGGTCACAGTGTTAGATAACAACACAGTTCGTGCAACCTTCCTGGCTTTGTGTGGACTTGCCTGGACCTGTGTGAGCTCTGTGTTCCCTTGTTTGGTGGTAACAATTATGTGGCAAACAGGTGCCGCTACCTACTTTGGTTTAGCTTTCTTATGATTGTCAGTTGTGTGTATATGTGTATATAAATATGCGTATATACACATACATTGTTATATACATTTCTGTAGATGGTAGATAGGAATAACAAGTAGTTTTACTGTGAAGAATAAACTACCTATGACCCTGGAATAAAAATGCTGCAGAGGAGAGTATAAGAAAGAGGTAACAGCAGGGGCTTTGAATCTACAAGCACAGGATGATATCAGAAGCTCAAGAGCTGTAAATAACTCACCAGTGGATGATTACTGGTAAAGCAATCAGGCCTGGGCACTGCATAAAGCCAGTTTTAGGGGGTAGATAACAGAGAAAAAAAACGAATGTCTAACATGTATGAAAACATACCATAAATAGTACATGACATATATTTGCAAACCAGTGAAGAAGAATGAGCATGTGAGCAAACATGTAAAAATTACCCCAAGGGATTCCAGGGGTGAAAGGAAAGAGAACATAGGTACAGGTAAGCATAACATTGTAGAGAGGCATTGATTTGGGAACATTTGAGTACATATTTTAGCTTTGCATATTCTGAGAAGTAGGTGCTAGTATCATTGTAACCGAGAAAATAATAATACTTCAACTATTAAGACCTCAGTTAAAATAACAGTCAATTCTTGGCTTTGCATATAAGGTGTGTTCCTTTTCCTAATATGCAGACTTAACTCCAACAAACAACAGAACTCTTAGTGCAGCACAGTACTGACTGATGGAGATTATTGCAACCTACACAGTAATTTAGATAAAATAAATTGCTAGCAGTTTGCTGCACAGCAGCATGCCCAACCCAGTGCAGTAGTGACTCCAAGCTGTGCCTCTCACAGTTAGTAAAATTTGCAAGAATTACCCAAAGTCTTTCCTCGGCAGTATTAGTAGTTAGAGTTCTTGAGCAAGGAAGCACCTATAACTTGGAATGCCTACATCTATTTCTAGAGGTATAAAGGATGTCAGTTTAATCAGTTTGGAGGTCAAGCTACCCCACTTCTATAGGGTGCTGTGAAAACTGGCAAGTTGCTGATCTAGGAGGGAATGCAATAAGAGCCATCATTTATAGTCCGGAAATACTGTCCATCTTACAGATTAAATTTCTATACATGTAAATGGTTAATCAGCTTGATATTTCTGAATTTCAGCAAAGTCCCCCCAATCCTCTGAAATGTAAACTTAGTTAAGACATTTTGTATAACTAGTTCAACTTTGCTGCAACTTTACAGTGTCCATAAAGGTAAGGAAAATATAAATATTTGTAAGCTGACATACTAAACTGCTTAATTTATCTCATAGTGGCATATTTAGTTCAGCTGTGACTGACTACACATTGTCCTACCTATAAATAAAGTCATTAGACTGTCCATGGAGCCTTCCAAACATGTGTCTATAATCAGCAGTGTTATAATCCCAACACTTTCTGTATTGGTAGTTTGATCTATACAAGCTCAAATACAATAGTAGAGGGATTTTAAAAGTCAAATAAATGTCACTGGAGTGCAGCAGTAAATGTGTCCAAGGAACATGCTACCTTAATTGAAAATTCAAATTACTGAGCATTGCCACTTTTCAATAAAACATTCAGTGCTGTTGAATGAAAAATCAATAGCTGCTTTATAGTGCATTTTTCTTTAAGCAGTAGGCAAGCACTCAATTCCCCTTAAAAAGATTTTTATTCTTCTATCTGTAATATTTACATCTCTTCCTGTTTCTTTCTCTCTCTACAGCAGAATAATCTTCAGTTTCTGTTGTAAACGGAAACAGAGCTCACTTCTAAGAACAGAACATGGTATTCAAATTTGGTAGTCATTGTTATAGTTTAAAGCCATTGCAAATTCAGCTGGCTCCATAGTTTTTTGTCTCTCTGTTTGTTTTTTAGTGAGCACTTAATTTAAACTGTGTCTACTGAGATTTCAGGAAACACTTTTTGTTCACTTTTGGATAGGATAGGATTTAGTTTTAAGGCAGCAGCCTTGACATTCTTGTAGAATAACTGGAGACTTGTCTTTGTTATCTAGAGAAGAAATGCTATAAAAATATGTAAAAGTTTGGGTAGAAATGGTAAAAATGTGCTGGAAATTTGTAGGTTGAAAGGAAATTGTAGGTACCTATGAAAGCAGAGATGGTGGTGGCACGTGAAGTTCTCTGAGAAGTTTCTCCATGATGCTTAATGGAGATGGAGTGCATTCCTGCTGCTTTTGATCACTGACTATACATTTGACAGTCTTCCCTCTGGGTAGGCTCTAGCATGAAAGGGCCAGTACTTTGTGTCACTTTTCCCTTTCTGTTTTCACTTGCTTTTCTCACGAAGTAACACAGAAACCACATTAGTATTCTGCTGCATACCTGGTAGAAATGCTACTTTCTGCCTTCTCTTCTTGTACCTGCTGCCTTCTCTTCTTGTATGCTTGTGAGGCAGTGACAGTGATGCTTTATATCTAGTAAATCTGCATCACCAAGGCTTTGTGAAAGTTCCGCAACCTCTCCTCTCACTTGTTCCTATTCCTGTCCCAGCTCTGTTCCAGCAAGTGCTCTCATCTCCAGTGTGGAAACTAATGCAGTAATCTGTATGATAGGAAAGAGAGATTTTTTTTCAGATTTTCCATATAACTTGTAGTAAGAAAAGCTATCATGTTACAGACTGATCTGTACATAGACTGTTGGGAGTTTTGAGTCAAAATTATATTGATCTTCAAGGGTAAGTATGTAATAGTTCATTAAGTTCCAGCATTTAAATCACAGATATTGATTATAGCTGATAATTGTATACATAGTGTCACTCTGTAAGACATAGCCTGAAGTTTTGTGTGCACTTTATTCTCAAGAGTTTTTAGAATTACTTCTAAGCACCCATTGTTTTCCAAATGAGGGAGCAATGACACTGTTACTTAGAGTATAGCCTCCCAGGGCAATGTGCCTTTCTAAAAAGATCAGGAATAAGCTTTAATTTAAGTTAGCAGATCAAAATTCCTTGGAACATGGATGAAAATTGTGTGTGCCAATGTAGCCTCATTCGTTTAAATGGAATTTGTCCTTTGTAGCATTTCACTGATGTGACTTAACAACAAGGATCATTAGCCTCTGAGCTAAGAATGAGAATGAGAAAAGAGCCAGATTGAAGTACACGTTACAGCAAGAAAGCCACTGCTGATGCGTGTGCTCAAAGTACTTTTGCTCTTCCCTATTTCAGATTGAATCTTTATCTCAGCTTTGTGATTGCCCCCTTTACTATAAGCAGCTGTCTTTTTTTTTGTTGTTGTTCCACAGCTTATCAAATTAACAGATGCTTGTTTTGCAGCATGTGTTGACTTAGAAAAATACCAAAGTATTATCAAATGTAGAAACTGGGTGTGTAGACTGATGCTGAAATTCTCCTCTGTGTAAAGTAAATCATGAAGAAACAATGGCTCATCACCTAAAGGCAGAAATCTAATCTGTATTTGTGATAACAGATCTAAATTCTGGCAACTTTCAGTATCTTACACTCTTTGCTTTTAGCTAACTAAAAATGTGAGCTTGTTTTTTATCTCATCAGTGAAAGTCAATGAATGATGAAAGAACCCAAGCCTCTGTTATTTTGCTTACTGAATAGAGTTACTGTCCTTAGGTGACTTCTGACTTTTTCAGTCAGCACATGATGCTTTTTTATTTGTTCTGAACATATCCACAAGTGGTTATTAGAGACCAAAATGAAATATGCTCTGTCTCTACATCCTCACCTACTTTTCCTTTACAGCAGAGACTTCTTTGACCATGTTATATCTTGACCATGTATATCCTGGTTTGGTGTATGGCTCTTTGAACACTTTCATGCCATGATGCCTTTTTTGGTTCAGTAATCTGAATCAGCAGACAAAACAAGTTCCTGCTACTGGGCTTCCTGCAGTCTTGGTAAGTGTCCTCACCACCTGACTGTTGATCATGCTGGTTTAAGGGTCGCGTTTAAAGCAAAGCACAGGCACAATCTGCAAAGCATCCTGCAGTTCTTGTGCATTGCTTGTCCAATTTGGGGACTCACTTATGTGAGTACTTGTGTACACTCTGCTTGGCATCAGAAAGAAGCATGTGGAGTAGGGAGGGAAGGGAGTAAAAGGAAGCATGAAGGACCTGGTCTTGTTGTGACATGGAATTGGGATGTACCTGGAGCATTATCTGAGAGCTGGGAAGCGTTTTGGCATCCCAGAGTACAGACAGAACATTGTTTTCCTTTTCTGCATGGTTTGTTCCATTCATTTTTAGAAAATTTCAAAGCTCTTAACCCTGATCTGAATCAGAATGTATGAAAAAATGGCTATTCAAAAAAAGTGTGTAAATGGAAGATTTTCTAGTCAATTTACACCCCCAATATTTAACAGTAGTGATTTGGATGCTGAAAGTTTGTTGTTTGTTTGTTTGTTTTTCCTCCAGTGAAATCTATTTTATTTAATAGTATATGAAAAATAAATAAATACTTGATTATAGAAAGTTATCGACCAGCAATTGCATAGGGATAGAAAAGATGAGCAACATAAAAAACAGACGGAAGAAATGTACAGGGGTTACTTCTAGGTAAGAGTGAAAGATGGATAAATCCAAGTTTAATTCTGAGTGGATCTTGTTAACCAAATGATTCAGAAGATGATGTGTGGAGGGCTATAGAATTGGTGGGTTGCCTTCAGACTTGGCTTAACCTTGAAGAATTTCTCTGAAGTCAGTGACTGTATTCAGTCAATTTTTTTTAGTCTTTTTCAAATGAAAGTTACCAATATTCTGCTACGAAGTAGCAAGAGGTGCAAAAAATAATAGTAATGCCAACCCTTCTTACTGAAGAATGTAATAAATTGTAAAAAGCAAATAGTGATTGAATGTAAATGACATTAAAATTAAGATTTTACTGATTTTCCTTTTAAGAAAGATTTCCTATGCTTTTTTTCTGAGTTCCTAAAATAGAGATTTTTTTTTTCTTCTGTGCTGTAGCTTTTCACTGTTTGTGGTCTGTCTCAAACAGGGTAACTGAGAAATGTTAAATAAAATCAAATTGGTTAGAACATGTTTCCCTAGAGTGACATAAATCCTTTCCTTTGAATGCTATATTCTGTTACCTTAGACTAAGCAGGAAAATGAATGGCTATTGCTAATGCATAATCTTATTCTTAAACAATGCTGAATGGCTTCTTCAAAATTAATTTCAGGCAAGACAAATGATATTGAGGAATCAAGCCAATCCACCCATGACCTCCCCTAGAGGCTGTTTCCAAACTGCCACTGCTGCTGCTTGTAAAGCAAGTCATGGGATCTGTCAGAGAGCAAGCCAAGTAACCGAGGCTGAAAGCCAGATTCAGACGCTGGAGGCATTCCAGATTTTGCTATCTCTGTCAGATGTTTACTGATAATCTTCCATGTGTGGATAGAAGGCTGCAAAAAGAATTTCTGCCATAGCAAAGATAGCCAAGTATGATGTTTTGGAATATCAACTGTGTTAGATGCCTTTTAAATCCTATATTCTTATGAAGTGCTCTCCTACCAAACTGAAGCAGAGGGACAATGTAGAAGCTGCACTGCTGAGTGTTTCTCTGCGCAGACTGAGATACGTGTAACTCAGCAACGCAGATATGGCTAAATTGCCTGTTTATATTGTGGTACTTTCTCTGTCCTGTGAAACAAATTCATGCCTGTTTATGCCTAACTTCTGTTCTATAAGAATCATAAATAGAAAGGATAAGACAAAGTCTTAATGGTTTTCTGACATTGCCCATTCCACAGCTTCCTTTTCCCCATTTGCATGAATATCTCAATGTGGGCAACAGAGAAAACTCAATACAGTATAAGCCTTTCACGTTTCAGACATTTTAAAGTATATGAGTCATTACAGATGATTTTAAGAACTATACTTTTCTTCTGCCCGATTTCAGAAAAAAAAAACAGTACAAAATGTGCTAAAATGCATTAAGCAGTAACATCAGAGGGTGGCCCGGCAGACCACATAAAGCTTTTAATTAGACCCATGCAATTGTGTTTAAAAGCTGGTTGGCTTAAACAGAGTTAAATGAGAACAGAGTTTGACCTTCTGTCTGTAGAGTGCTAAATGCTGTAGCACTCAAGACAATGTAATACAAGACACATTGCTAACCTTCCCATCCTGTATACTCTGTTGTGGCCGTTGCCAACTGGATCAAATGAACATTTGGAAAGGTGTGTTAAGTAGTAGCCAGATCCCATTCTCTCTTAATTATGTGGCTTTCACCAGTATGCAGTACTAAATCATCCTTGCCCAGGGGTAGTATAATTACTGCTGAATAGCCTAATGCTGAATAACTTAATATACTGGAGGCAATAATTATTCCCAGAATGTGTCTGTTCCACTTTGCATATTTACTTGTGTTCTTCAGAAAAATTATCCCACAACATAAATACTCTTTAGGGCAATACTGGTCTTTGCCTTGAATATATTGGTCACAAGCTCAGCCCTTTGAGAGTAAGCTAAAAGACTTCAGTAGAAGAATAAAATGGTAATGGAATAAATATCTTCAGTAGCTCTATAGAACATATTTTTAATTCTGTCATGGTAGTGCTATTCATTTTAATTTAATCTCTACTGCCAGCCCATTTCATTTGAATTGCTCCAAGTTCTTTCTTCCTGATTTGAAAGAAAAGAAGGCTAAACTTACAAACCCCAATAACTGAGGGTCACTTTTATCTTTCATACTTTAATAACCTATTATAGTTTACATTTGCAAGTGGAGAATTTTCATCAGATGCAATACTAGATACTGCCCCATTTTTTTCAGGCACATAGTCCCTGTCCTCCTTGCTCGGTTTGTACCTAGTTTGAATGGGAACAGTTCAAGATATTATCCACCTCTCTCCATTTTTTGTTTTTATTGTACTTTTGTTGAATAGTATGGTGATACTGGCTTTTGAGAGTTTGATATGGACTGTGGGAGCAATGTGTTGCCGTTTCTGCATTACTATACTTATTGATAACACCTGAAGGATTTTCAAATCATATATCCCATAAGTACTGATGTGGGTATATTTCCTTGGGATGTGGGGTAATAGCATGAGAAGGTGGGGTCAGCATTAATTTACTGGAGGGTTTGGAAACTGAATATGTTTCAAAACTCTAACTTATTATTGTATTTAATTTTAATCGCTTAAAATCTGACTCACAGTGAGGTAATTTTGAAAATTGTACCTGCTTTGCATTGGAAATGTGCAGTTTTGCATTCTAAACATCTGTTAGTTTCTGTTTGCTGGATAGTCTGGCCTCAGTGCTGTATTTATCTTGGGATGTGACCTTTCAGTCTCACAGGAATTTGACAACTAAATTTTTCTTAATTTTCTTTACTGCTGTCTGGCTTTATGATGAAAGAGCTGAAATGAGAGAATGGGAATAAGATTCAAGTCTATATAGGCTCAAGCCAAACTACTTGCAAACAGCCCCTGTGATCCTGGTTGTGTGTATATGCTCAAGGTACAATGCTGTTTTTATATGATCCTAGACTCCATTTCTGTAGATATTTAAATACTGCAGCAAACAGTTAAACTCCTGAGAACATGTGTGGATTGGATTATATTGCTTCAGCAGACTCTCATTCTAAAACATATTTGCTTATAACCTTATCTGAATAAAGGCTGCCCTGGTTCTGAAATCTATAATGTTATTTCATTACTGTCACATTCAAAGATGCATACAAATCTGACAAGCAATAAATTCATTGGCTGAAAGCATCCTCCACTTCAGCAGCTGTATCTATTTTAGTACATTGTCTTGGAGTCTATGTCAGTGAGCCTCTGTGTTCAGGTACTCAGTATTCAAGTGCAGAAGTTCTTGATTGGGAGTAGATTAATCTTCAATTATCAGAAAATCTAATTCATAATCTATCTACCCCAAGTCCCCTGTAAAACAAACAAACAAACAAGCAAACAAAAAAAAAACATATATACATATTTAAGTCTGACAAAAAATCATCTATTTGCTGAAGTGTTTTTTTTTTTTTTTTTAACAAAATTGCCACCATCATCACCACCACATTTCCCCCCACTACCCACCCCAAACAGGATGTGAAAGTAAAGAGCTTAAAGGTCTGATGCTATCGCATCTGAAAACAAAGTCATTTTTTGTACCTTGGAGACAAGACCTACCAGATGAAAAATCAAATAAACTAATTAGTGTTGAGCAAAGAACATTTTATATATTATGGCTCTCTGGGCTAATTTCACCCCTTTCTAACTACTCATTATATAAAACTCCTTAAATCAGTGGGACATGAGGCACTGTACTGAGAGCAAGGTCAATGAAACCAGACTCTTTTAGGACATAATGAAAGGAGACAGAATTCTCCAAGGGATCTTCCTAATATATGTCAGGAGCACAGCAGATCACAGACTAGTGATTATGAAGTGGACCTGGCATCATTTTTCCCCCTCAAATGAAGTTTCCATATTTTCCTCTTAAACATTTCTTATTTGAAAACAAAAATTAAATAAGAAGAAATTCTCATTTAACAACCTTCCTCTTCATAGGAGAAAAAGTAAAAAACACATGGAAAAAAACAGGAATATGTTCCTATTTGATTAAAAATAATAATTGATGAATGACTATGTAGTATGATTCACATTATTTCGTATTTTATGGAGATGCATTTTAATGTACATCTCTAGTAGTAAAATGCTTTCAAGTGGCTTGAACATACAGAATCAAGGAGTCCCATAACAGTCCTGAAACTCTATTCTAAAAAAATAAATAAAAGCAAATGTCTAAATGTACCACTGCAAAGTGCATGCCTTTAAAGTAGTGGTTTGGAAGTCATGGTCTGTAAACAGTTCTGATGGAGATTTTCATATTCGAAGTACAGTTTTCTTAGATTATTTAGAAATACTGGTTTTCATTACCATTTTGGAATTACTGTAATGAAACCTCCATTTAGCTATCATTTTTAGTTATCATTTAGTTATTAAATGATATGCTGAATACATTTTGTTAAAACTATGATGTCATATTTACTCTCATTTTACTTAAAAGCATAGTCATTCAATACCAAGCCTGTAAAAAAAATCTGTTCTATTATGTGAAGCAAGTACAATTGTCCTGACTTGGGATTTCTTGAACTAACTGGAGTTTGACTACCTCTAGTTGAGTAAGTGTGTAATTTGAAACTTTAACAGCTCTAGTGAAGACAGACACAACATGAATGCTCTGGAGACCATCTTTAACTGTGAGGAAAATGACGTAGGTTGTTTTTGTGTTGGTAATAGTTGTGTATGGTTTGTGTAATAGGTCAACAGAAGTCATGAGCCTGCATAGATAGTAGAGCTGAGTAAAAATATTTTATCTTGACTGTCTATATTTCTAAATGTGTAGTAGCCTGGCCAGCCAGTTAGAATGCACGCAGTCTGTATTATTGTTAAAATAGATAGATTCAACAAACCATCTTTATTTAGCACAGCACTTAAGAAAGTTCTGAATTTGGTTCTGATCTCAGTCAGAAGTTCTTACTGCTTTTGCTGTAAATAGGTACTGTGCTCAAAAGGGAAGAACTTGAGTATGTGTATCTATGCTTTCCTAGATTGTAAAGTTGGAGCTATAGCAGAGATGAAATGTAGATCCAACTGAAGTCATAGTGTACACCCACTGACTTAAGATGGTCAAAGGTTTTTGGCAAATTAATTTGTTTACCAAATAAAATGACATTCTTTGTTTTTAATCTGCTAATGACCAGGTGGATATCTGTTCTTTGTTCAACTCTTTGTATATTCCAGTATCTTTCAGCATGTGCAGTATGTTTCTGCATGTGTTTGTGTTGTTCCCATATTCCTCTCTTTAAATTTTAACTTATGCTTCTTGGTGCATCATGCTTTCTTTTTTTTTTCCTTATTTCTTTTTACTTTTATTTTTTGTCAGGGAGGTCTTTTTTTTTTTTTTGGTGGGGGACAAAAGGCAGGTAAACAAAATATTTAGTTTAGCATAACCTTCTCAGTGTTTTGTTAGGCTTCCTACACTCACAAAAGCATGCATGCTAGTACAGTGTAGTCTGTTAATGATTTTTGATGTGGTTGCCCTTAAAAAGCTATTTTTCTCTGAACTGCTATAGGATTTCATATCCCGAAGCATCTTTACTTTCTCCATTCATAACTAAATTGGAACACTCAATTTTGAAATAATAGTTAGTGTGATTTATTATTTACCACAGCAGCACTGAAGAAATGTATTTGAAAAGAAGCCAGTAGCAAATTACAATCGATTTGCACAATATAACAAATAAAATGTTTTACGGAGGCAGACTCGGTGTTTCAAGTTATATGTGATCCATAATAATATCTCCAAGATGTCTGCTTCTTTATTACTGTCAACAATTCATTAATCACCTTCCTACAAAAAGGGAAAAAAATAGATTCAGACATCTAAGAAAGTGCTGATTATGGCTCTTTAGTTTCTACACAATTATCTCAAAATGCTGTAGTTTAACTAAATGAGGATACATAGGGACATTAAAGAACTCCCTTCAGGTGTCCTTGGAATGAAAGCAGTTAAAGTTGCTTATATTGTGATGGAATGGTGATAGTGATTATGATCATGGACTGCAGTTACCTGATGTGTTGATTGGTGACTGTTAACAAATAGAGAACATGGAGTGACTAGTGATGAAGAAATAATTAAACCAATACCAAAATAATATGTGCAGTTTGAGTTTCTTAGAGCTGTAAATCCACTAGAAACAGACATTCATATTAATTTCCAGGAAGGTAAAATAGTGTATTTTTGTAATCACAAAATGAATTTGGTTAAAATCTTTCTGCTGAGCTTCTCACTATGTGATTTTTATCCCCAAATGCTGAGGTATGCCTGTGGTTCAGTTACCATGTCATAAATGAACTGTTAGGCCATTCTGTGATTTGGGGAAGGACTGTTTCAAGTGACAAGAATGTTGTAGCTACACCTCTTGAGATAATATAGAATATTTTTCCAACACCATGGTTTAGGTATGAAATCTTGATTATCCCATCCTTTACCGTGTTTTCCTGATTGTTGGTGTGTTCCTGAGGTAGCAAAGCCAGAAGATGCAAAAGATGCCTGAGCTACAAAAAAGTTTTTATCTCAGAGATCAGTGTGTCTAAATGAGATGCAACTAGCCACAGAATAGGAAGCTTTGTTGAATCCTCTGCTACTCTTTATATGTGGTTCAAAGATTGTGCAGGACATTTCACTATATCCTTTAGATCATGGAGGATGTGCGTCTAGGAAAGTATAAATGAAAGATTAGATCTAAAGAGATGTTTGTGTGTGTGAAGATGCAAATGAACTCTGATAGAAGCATCAGCAGTCCCGTATTTAGGCCAGTGATTTTAATTAGAATTAAGTGTACTGTCCATGTAGTTTACTTTTGAAAATATCATCCATCACGAATCTGTAAATCTGACCCAAGTTGTTCTCATTGATTGTCCAAGAATGAGGAAGAGCACTGCAAAACTTACAGAACACAATGAGAAAAATAGAGATACTGGCAATAGTACTAAGGGGGTTCTTTCCAAGCATAGCTCATTGCTGTGGAAGAGATCATCCTGCCAAAAACACATAGTAGTACATTAAGTTATCTCAGGAACTTGACCAGACAGCACAATCTGTTAAGCCAGTTCTTTGATATGCTATCATCAGACAGAGAACAATCTGTCCGTGTCCATTCCCTCTATTAGTCTTCAAGACTGCAGATTGGTTACTACTCTCTAAGTTAGTTGCATTTCTAGGCATGTCCATGCATTTAGTAATTCTTTAATGGATTTGTCTTTCATGAATCCATGTGATCAAATGCCAGTGCAAAGTCAGTATGAAAATTCAGCTTAGCACCTTTATTTCAATTAAACGGATCTGGAAACTGCAAAATGTGACATTCGTACCTATTAATTAAACCATCAGCAAAAGGCTTAAGCAATTTTCATGCTATATTGTGCTATTTCTGGAATGAAAATAACAGCCAGACATTACATCAAGACTATAAAAGAACAAAAAGATAGTACCCTCATATTCAAGTAAATTAAGATACATTCTAACTAAGGGAACAAATAAAAGATCTATCAAAATCCATAAGAATGTTTTCTGATACAGGTGTCACTTAACAGAGTTTTCATTTAACTATAAATAACCACAGTAATTACATATCAATATAATTGCTGGTATCTATTGCATTTGTTACAAGTGGTTCAGTATGGGAGAGTATAATTCCGCCAGAGCAATGATTTCTTGTCTTTGAGTTTCTATTTACATAAGAAAACTGTCATAAGGAAAGGGCAGCATATTTATTTTTGAAATAGAACTTCCTTGGATTTTTCAGAAGTCTTTCATTTTGGAATTAAACTCTGCATCTTAGACAAGACAGACAGGCAGTTAATTAGCGCACACACACACACACACACACACACACACACAACAAAAAAAAGAAAAAAAGAAGCAAAGGGAAAAAAAGGGCATTGAGTGCTCTTGTGAAAAAAAATGACACATGTAAAGGAAATGATTGCTGAGAGTATGGTATTGATTTGATAGTTTTGCAACTGAAAATGTTTGCTAATTGGAGAACCAATTCCATATTTGTATTCCCAGCACAGAAGCAAGAAGCTTCTGAATTAAGCATCAAGAGCAAATACTTGCTGAAGGAAAAAAGAAATACAATATAAACCCAGGATGTGGAGGAAACAGCAATCTGGCAGCCCTGCTCTGGGCATTGTAAAACTGCCCTACAGACAGATAGAAGCAGTCATAGAAATTAATAAAAAAAATTACTGTCAATGAATACTAGTAGGCTACTACAGCTGGCCAAGCTAATTTCAACAATTGTTTTCATCACAATACTCCATGTGCTTATTACTGTTGTTGTAATGACTAACAGCACGATGCAGAACATTTTGACATGTTGCCGTTACTTTCACAGAATTGTCTCTCTTTTGGCAGACCATTGTGCAAGAAACAGGTAAAGAAAAAGAGTAAACATTTTACATACTTCCCTTTTTGATTCTTTAAAACCTTAAAAATTCCAACAAAATATCTAAGCAATAGGAGAATTGGTTTAGATCATTTTAAAAATGGATGCCTTTTTCATTTCCTTGTAGATTATTTTAACTATTTCATCAGGCAGCATTAGTCCTGTATTAACGCTTTATACAGGAATGGCACATCATAAGTGTTTCATATTTCAGATGTCATTCACATAGCAGAAAGTGTTTGATGATGTGTAGGAGCTGAATACTTACAAGGTGCAAGTAACTTCTGAGAAACTGGCACCAAGCACTTCCATACACCTGTATCTTCTATGATTTTTTTTTTTAATAAATTTTCCTCTTTATCCCAAATCAGATATTGACATTTCTGAAGAAGTGCCAGCCACTATCTCAGGTAATTTCTATAAATACACGTCCAGCAGTACAAGAAGAAAAAGAGCTGTAGTAAATCCCTCAACAATGTGATGCCAACTCATCCCTTCTTCTTCCCCCTGCCCCCCAGTAAATAAATAAATAAATAAATCTGTGGAGCTGTGCGATGCCTGCTAGGAAGATGACATAAAGTACAGAAGTATGAATAAATAAAAGAGCACTTGTTTCCTCCAGTGTGTGTGCCTTTTGCCATTTTATATCCCTTTCATGTCCTTCTCTTCATCCCTACTGTCTCATTCCTTTTATTAATTGCTTTGCTTTTTCTCCTCGGCCTTTTTCTCGCCTTTCTTCTTCTGGAAAAGTGTGACTTGTATTCTACTCCTTCATTTTTGCTCATTCATTTTTCTTTTCTTTGTTGTCTCTTGACCATATAAGTCTTCTTTCCTCTACCCCAGAGATAGTTTCTCATTTCTCTTACTTCACTCCTTATGATGTGTGTGTCCTTCCTTCTGATCTAATTCTTTCTATTTCTTTGTCACATGCATTCTGTTTTACTGACCCGCTTCCTCTGCATTCTGGCTCTGGTCTTGCTTTTTATACCCCTATCGATGTATTTCCTAAGACTGCTACATAACTTGTCACAATTTCATTCTCTTTGTCTACCACAGTGCACAGCCAGCATTTCCAGCTGCATCTCCCATTCAGAGTTCTGTTGTATCATTTCAGCTTCTGGACTTCTAACCTTCCGTCGTCTCACTGCACCTATCGCTGCACCTATTGCTGCTTTGCTGGTTTATTATATTCTAAGGGCATAAAGAAGAATTACCTAAAAGCATGTCCCCTTTCAGAGAAGGATGACTTGCTGATGTACCGTTGCTGCTCAGTGTCCTCTTGCTGGCCATCAGAGCATGTCAGAGGCTGGCTGTGAAAGAGGTAGGATTCATCGCTGATGCCTGCTGTGCTCTGATTATTCTGTACTTCCCAGAGCTGCAAGAAGCAGAGCATAATTAGATCAGCAATGAAGCTTTTTACAGTTTGGAATAGTTTGTTAGTCCCACTGATGGTTTTGTGGGTTGATTTTATGTGGAAAGAAAGTTCTTGAATTACAGTATGTCAGTCATAATAAATAGTGAGCCCTAGCTTCTGCTCACTACAACAGAATGAGGTGGATTGTTTTTCCTCTTGGGTAGGCTCTAACTAACTTGAATAACAAATACTTGATATTTAATCCTCACATGTTCAAGACTTCTAATATGTGAAGGTCAATATTAGATCCAAGGCCTGAATCTAGATGCCTTTGACAATGATGGACTGTCAGATATGATGGCTGTATCTGTACCAGCCTGTGAGCACTTTTATTCATACTGTTAAATTGTTCATTGCTGGCCAGTTTTTGGCTCATGATGGCTTAATTAGCATCCACTAAATGATGCCTGAGCACAGTTTGGGGATTAGCATAGGCCAGGAACCAACTCCAGTAGGCAGTTGGTATAGTACCACGCTGTTTTGGGGATAGAAAAAATTTAGCTGAGTTGAAACAACCTGTGCCTGTTAGTTGGCCTAAGGGCCTGAAAACTATTCCTGAGTTATTCTATATACAATTTTAGTGTATGGAGGTAAATCTAACCTCATGGTTTCTAACTTTTTCATTTTAATGTTTATTGCTCCTACTTGTAACAGTAGTGGTACTGATCTATACCAAAGGTTATTTTAACCCATCTCTTCAGTAGTAACTTCCTTGGACACTCAAAATAAATGTGAACGACACATTCCCCAAATAATCCAGTATGATGAAGGTCTTCTCCAATTAATTGCTTAATCTTATAATCTCATGCAGATTTTCTGTATTCACAACATCCTTTGTCTAGACTTACTGTCAGCTGTTATGTAGAGAATCACCTCCTTTTTTGTTTGAGTTTAGCTTCTGACTTCAGTCTTTAGTGCTTGTGTGCAAGAAGCATTAAACAGCCGACTACTACCCTTAACCTGTCATTTGTAAATGTGTTGAGGAGCGCAGATCTTAGCACAGACTGTTGGGGATATCCACTAGTTCTCTCTCACATGTGTAGTATCTGATCATTTTTTGTTTTATACTTTCTTGGCCTTTAACCAAGAGATGTGGATTTTTGGTTTTGGTTTCACTCAAAACTGATACTGTGAAGAGTAATGTATTGTTTTTAGTCTAGTTGGCATTGGTTTCTGTAGTATACGGACTTTAATTCAGGCAAATCATTCAGAGGGGTGCTTTTGTGCCTGGAATTCTGGACTGGTAGAGAGTTGGATTTACATATGTCAACATCAACAGTGTTTTACAACTAGGTGATACAATTCTTCGCTCCCTTCCCTATACCAGTATACTATGTGGATCTATTATTAAATTTTATTTATGAGCTTTATTAAATTGGTAGAATAAGCAGCACCCAATCTATGTGGAACATTTTTTATTACATACCCAACAGTTTTGTCCTTTTCCTTAATAAACTTGAATATATAGATATCTGTTGCTTTTGTTTGGATACTGGTTCTCTTTGATCACCATCATCTATCTTATACCAGTGAATCTCCATGAAATGCTATTACTTTACAACAGCACTGATAAGGCAATCATAGGCAAGGCAAAAGTTTCTAAAATTCTTTACAAAAAATTCAGTTTTTGTGTTTAAGTGTTCTCTCCTGCCCTGTATCTTCCATGGACCTTTGAAATGGGAAAGGCTTCTCAGTGTCAAAGAGCACTTTCCTGTGCTCTTCTATAGGCAAGTTATAAATAGATCCCATATGATTAGGTTTAGATCCCATATGATTTTATTATTTTTTCCCCTAGGATAACATTAAGAAACTTAGTGTAGTATATTTTGGGGTTTCATTTTTCTTGAGCATTAGCAATTCTGCAGGTGCTTGTTCCAGTGCTTTCTAAAATCATCTCCTGTTAACACTGCAGTCTAACAAGGAATGTTCCTGTCTTTGAGAAATACATTCGTGTTTACTGTGCTTGCCATTGACCCATCTCCTTCACCTTTCTCTGCAGAAAGATAACTTACAAACTTTTTATTTTTTTTTAGAATTTAGACACATTGGATGTGTTTGTGAAGTCTTACGTTCTACAAGTCTGAGGAGTTCAAAGTTCAAGATGACAATGTAAACTTCAGCATATTGTCTCAACAGTAATTTGAATTCTCTATATTCTTTAAGTACTGTTTATTTTCAGAGAATGTTTATTTCCTATCCAATTTTGCATTTACAGTAAGTAATGTAATGTTTAAGACAGAAGACACTTGTGGACTGGTAACATACAAGATAATGTGGGAAATTATGGCATTTACCCAAAGCAGTTAGTGTTAGACATTTATCTTGATCAGTGGATCGTAATTCCAGTTTCCGTTTTTTAAAGAGTTTTTCAGAGTACTCTGATAAAAAGGTTGTGTTTGAGAAGTCTTTATTCTAATCCCAATTCTGTCTCTATTTTACTACCAAGAACAAGTTTTTAGCTTCTCCCCTCTCACCCACTCCCATTTTTTCTAGCTCTAGGTCTCTGTCATAATATCTCTTGTATAGTATGATAATGATGATTCATTTTCTCACACGTTTGCAAGGTACTTCCAAGACTGACTGCTTTCCAAGTGAACAAGGGTGGTAAATTCACTTAATGTTTTATATTGAATATGTTGTTAGTTTTAATGACAGGCTTCTCAGTTTTTCTCCTAGAGAATTAGAAATCTTGGCCACTTCAACTGTGTGTTCATTACAAGGAATCATATGGTCATTTGAAAACATTTTGTGTGTGCTCAATGAAAACAGAATATTGAGACTCTTCATCACCACAAGGGAACAGGTCCTCCATTCAGGGCAACTGGAACCTATATTTGTGGTCACTGTATAATGAACATTTGTATAGCATTACAATCTAATCAGGTAATATCCACACACAAGAAAAAAAATGTCTATATGAATTATTTTTTCGTTCATCTACCTAGAAATCAAAGGTATTTAGAATCAAAGCACAGCTCTAGCAGAGATGCATTATGGTGAAGGAATAAAAAATGTGATCGCTAGATTATCACTTCCAGCAAAATTAAAAATAAAATTGTCTTAAAAGACAATTGTAAAACATATATACTTATATTCAAGAATAGTTGTATTTAAATATCTGTAAATATAGAATTTCATACTTATATATTTATAGTTTCAGTCTTTTGACTTAAAAATTGTCTGTTTTTTTTTTGGTAACAAAGACTGTTGTTGCAACTTCAAAGACTGACAAACTTGATAATCCTTTCTCTGCTAAAATCTACAGAACATTAGAATGCTCTCGTGTGTGCAGTGAATTGGCCAAAGGGCTATTAGAGTGTATCTGTAGGTCCCATCTTAAAAATGGCCAACTAATTTTTTAAGTTTTATTTTGGCACTTCTGACTGGATAAAATTTCATATACTTTGAAATTCAGCTTTCTGAAACTTCTGCATGAAAAAGTACACAATTTAAACTACTACTTACACTACCTGGTAGCAGAGATTACAGAGATTTGAGATTCCAATGGTTTCTAAATTCTTACACAGTATGCTTTATTTTACATTTACTGTATTGTCATCTGGAAAGGAAATGGAATAAAATATTGATTCTAAATAAATTATTTCTGTTATTGATTTTAACTATTTCATACATAGAAGTTTCAAATAATTTCCTTTATAGCTTCACAGTTGACACTAGTTGAGTAAGATACTGAAGTTTATATTGCTTAAGTTAGCAAACAGTTCTTAAATGTGATTAAAAAGAGTAATTGCTTAACTTAGTAATTGTATGTAAAGTCTCTAAGACCATGCCTGAGCTGATCATGCTGAAGTATCATTATAATTTACTGTGTTCAGATTTAAAATAACCTGGTGCTGTTTCTAAATTGTTTGCACATGCATATTTAAGAAACAAGATAATTTGTGAAGAGAGTAAGTTTAAGTAACAGTGTAGATTTAATAGCAACAGAAAGAAATAGAAGAAATAGAGAAGTAAGGCTCCCACGTCATTTTAATTTGTTTTACAATAAATTCCAGGGAGATCTCAGATCACATCACAATTACAAGTGAGATAATGAATCAGTGCATGGAAAATGAGTTAAGGAAAAGGCTGATACTAACTCCATTTTTTTTTATTTTGTTAGTTTTACCATAATATAAATAAGGGTGGGTGTTTTTTTGTTGTTTTGTTTTTATTTTTGTTATTGTTTTTTGTTTCGTTTTTAATAATTTTAATAATTTTCCAATAAATTTGTATAGTGTTGACTCTGAGGTGAACAATATGTAGCTGTTTTCATGTAGTGTCAATGAAAATGTTGGTCAGCATTCTTGACAAATGCTGCTCAACAAAGTGGTCCCTTTTCACTGGATTAGCAGTTTATTTTTCTACTCAAGAACTAACATTTCCTCCTGATCTTGAAGTTCTGTTTATTTTTTTTTTCTTACTCTAGAGTATAGCTAAGCAGAATTTTTCTCTTGAACAAAATGACCTGCAGCTTCAACTCTGCTCTCCAGGAAAGATTCAAAGGTTCAGTAGAATATTAAATGCTTTCTTTTCCAAAGTGCCTCAGAGTTTTTAATTGTGGAAGTCATAATTTTCTGATCTAAAGTCACAGAAAAAGGACAAGCAAGGACTAGATGTGAGAAATGATTAACATCAGCTTCATCCAAATAAAATAAAGTTTTAGTACACATTTTCTCTCATTTTTTTTTTTTTACGTTTTACTTTGTAGTAGTTAAGTACTCTTCACTAGATGTTTTAGCTAAAAATAGTAATTAAAAAAATCTTTAAACTTACTCCTATGGAAAATAGGAATATAGCCAATAAATTAAGTTAACCCTTAAAAAGGTAAGGTTAACCCTTAAAAAGGTAAAGAAAAGCATCCAAACAAATACTATTTATTATGAAAGTAAAGAATGTATTTTAAAATTATTTTATTACCTAATGAGCTGATGCTTTCAGGTTATAATTCCGCTGTGAATTCATGGGAGATGAGATTGTGGTGTCCCTCTAATAAAATGTAAATCTATTGAAGAGTGCAAAACTGACGTCAGCAGTGTATTTTTAATTCATGTGCAGCTCCACTTAAGGTTCTCATGTACCAACCTATCAGTGTCCCAGAAACTGTGGTTGGAGGAGCCAGTTTCTTGCTATTGCAAAGCTCTCCCATGGGCCTGGGATTGGAAAAGAAAAGAGTTGTAGGGAGGGATCTCTTTTAATCTCCAGCACATAGGAAGACATCTTTGCACATAGGAAGACTTTCTTTGCAGTCTGAAGACCACCTGAAAAATTGGAAAACAGGAGATCAGAATCACGGAGGACAGATGTCCAGTAGAGAACAAGTTCTCCTATCTTTTGAAATACTGTGAACCCCCGCAGAGACCACCAGATCCCAGTTACCTCAAAGAGCTAACAGCTTGGAAGCATAATTTTTTTCCAGAATGCTCTCCAAAATTTTTCTTTCATTTATATCCATCTCATAGGCCCTTTCTCATCAAGTGGTTTGAATCTTCAAGCTTGAAAGCCCGTGTATATTAAAGAAATGGGAAAACATATGTACCCATATATAATTAGGGGGCATCATCTCTCTTTTGTGTTGAATATATGTTATCTAGCTAGCACCAGATGGAGAAGAACCATAAATCCATTCCTGGCTCGCTCAAAAAAATGTCTCCAGCTACTTTTTTTTTTAAATTCCAGGTCCTTCTCTTAGTCCTACCCCTACCCCTCCTTGATCTTTGTCCAAGCATTTGAGAGGGGCAGTGTCTTCTTTGGCTTTAGCTGAAATCATTTGTTTAGGCAGCTTTTCCTTACCAGCACTGAAACCTGCTACTCTGGATTATATTTGCAATTAGCAATTTGGCAACTTCTTTTATCTAAAGATGCCACAGATGCTGCAAACTCATTTAATCAAAATTGAAGATTCGTTTTCTTTGTGCTTTGAACTGCTGATGTGTCATCTCAGTCCTTTAGTGCTTGCCAGATGACACTTACCAAATTCAGTTTATGCTGTATATTCTTTTATTTATTGCTTTAAAATGTGGACAGGTACCAGACAGCTGAGATGTAGGTATACATATTAGTTGAAATCTTCATACTCCTCAGGATCTTCCAAGGAAAACATTTCAAATCTGTTTTGTAGTTGTTTGCCTTAATGATTTATGTTGCTGACGTGTAGGTTTTAAATCTTGTAACAAGTAATCTAAAAAATATTTGCTACCCTGGCTATAAGAACCATTCAGTGAAAACAGGCACGAAGCACTCTCTGTTACTGCTTCAAGAATTGTTTTGGAGATCTGGCAGTCAATATTCACCTTAGCTATGAACCAACCAGTTTATATAGGAAGAAAAATCCACCTAAAGTACTGTGGCTTCCCTTTTAACTGCATCTTTGTTTCATAATCAGGGCTTTATACCATGAACAATTTAGAATGTCTATATTGATTAAACCATGGGAGTCTTCACTTTAAATTCTATCTGGTATTCTGCAAACTATAATGAACATTACTGAATGCATGGCATCTTCTGGGAAACACCTTGAGATTATCAAGTTTAATTTCCCCTAGGAAGTTCTTACAGCACAGCAATCAAGCTAACTTTTACTTGCTGTAATGAAATAAGATTTAATCTACAATTTTCCATCCACCACCATTTCCTGATTTTCTTCTTTTAAAAAAAAAAAAAAAAAAAAGGAGATGTAGAGCAATTTCACTGTTTTTAGGTTACTGCTATACTTTTTCCCATAGTGCATCCTAATGAATATCCTGTCCTTTTTTAGTATGCTGATTAAGTAGAATCAGCTGAAACTCTATGGTTGGTAAGGAATTTATGTAAATATTGCAATTAAATCTTGTCTGTAATAATAGGTGACTTTTAATCTAGTATATATTGAGTCCCCTAATCTCTCAGATTGTAATTGAGTGATGAAAATGCAAGGCTTCATGAAAGGAAGGCAGATCACAAGAAAATAATGATTTTTTTGTGTAAACCATGATTTTCCAATTACTCCTCTCAGCTGGGACAGAAAAAACATCTAATTTGTGATATGTTCTGGTCCAAAATTAATCCTTTTGTAACTGTGCCTCTTTTGATTAAAGGCTACTTTGGCTTTCTTCCATGTAAAATTCTCAACCCCTTTGATAATTTTCCTGTTGGTTATTTTATTTCTTTCCTAGAACATTACTAAAATATTGGTAAATATTGCTTTAAATAATACTGATTGGTACCTGGATAAATAATCATTAGAGTAATTTTGTTATCTATAAACCTGGGCTTGAGGATGAAGTGTATCTGGCAAATGCAAGAATGGTGTGCAATTTTTTTTTTGTTTTTTTTTTTTCAATTTATGAAGTAAGTGTCCAATTGGTAAAACTAATATTTAAAAAATATGTAAAAACAGTTGTAGATAGTGAATAAGAAAGCAGTTATCTTTTTGATGACATGGTATGTGCACAATAAATTAGAGATAAAATTTGAATAGCAAGAAATTCCAGGCAAATATTAATGGAGACATTTGCTACACCTTTGCATCACAGAGAATAAATTGTAAGATCGGATATCCTTGCAGTGTCTGTGTATGTGCAAATAGAATCATACAAGAAAACTATGAACTGTGACTGTGATCTTGTTTGTACAGTAGTTTGAAATGTAATAAGTGCTATATGAGAGTGAGGTGTTCGTTTAATTTATGGAAACAATTAATTCCTTCTATTTATGTTTTTGTTTACATTTCCTATATTTGCTTGCATGTTCCAAAATTTACAGTGGGAAAATGTTCCCCTTTAATTTTCTTTATTAAAATAAATAATTTTCAGGTCCTAATGTATACCAATATTAGCATAAGACATTCCTGGATATTTTAAACTTGCAGTATATTCTGTGACTGTTGAGAGCAGATACAGTCTTGGTCTAAAGTCTTGCTTTAAGGAGACAGGTAGAGATTTAGGTTGGTTTCAGTGGACTGAAAGGGAAGGATATCTGATTTGAGAAAGAGATCTGAAGATACATTGTAAATAAAAAGCTTCAATGAGCATAGACATGAGAGGCAAGAACTGAAAAAACATAACTAAAAACACAAATATACCAAAGTGTATTTTGTTAAGGATGAGTGAAGTTGTTTTCTTGCATGGCAAATGAGAAATAGATGCAAAAGAGTGAATGTTTAAAGAGAACAGAAAGGTTACTTTGCCCTATTTCCCCGTATTGACAGATACAGGGAGAAACTGAAGCAGAAATAAAGCAGCAATTGAGAAGACAATCAAAAGCAGTGGGAATGTTGCTGGGTTTACAAGCATGAGATTAAAAAGGGGAGTTGTTAATGTCTATTTAGAAAAGTGGCAAAACTTGAAAAGAATTAATCCCTTTCCAGTGTATCTGCATTAGTCTCAAGACTACTAGGAGTAGTCGAGGCAGCTTTTGGCAGCGTGGTGTGGCTGGCAGCAGGAGCTAAATGACACAGGCACAGCTCCAAAAGGAAGGATACTCATCTGTAGGAGAGGGCAATTCAGGCAGAGATCATGCCTGTTCAGTGATTAAACTCTTTTCTTCCTACAAGCTCTACAGAAGTGTTCTGTAATATATGCATATGCAGAATATATCCATAATATCCGTAATATATCTATATACAGAAGTTGGTGTCTCTTTGAATACAGTCCAGAAGAGTTCAAGTACATACTTCCGATCCTTGAGTAAAATTTTTAATATTTGAGTTGCTTCTTTACTCTCCAAACCTTGTAGCTGTTTGCTGTAAGTACAAGGACCTGATGGTGAATCCAAGTTTCATAAATGCAAAGACAGTTTTGTAGTATGAATTCAAAATGTGGCTTGAACTAGAATTGTTGATATTTTGTAGGTTGCTCATGTTGTTTATGTAGGCCCCTAATCACTTGAGATATGTTTAAGCCTTTTAACTGGTATTTAATGCATTCAAATTAGTAAATTAATCTCTTGGGTACACAGCAACTCAGCATACCTGGGGTCACAGTGCATAAAGTTATTTTTGTTGCTATCTACAGAATGTCTTGACATGCAGCATATACCCACAGGGTCAGAAAAATTGCCCTTTGATTACATGTACAATAATCTGGATCTCCCAAGGTATTCAAGTGGTTAATTAAATATCAAGTAATTGCTAAAATTACTAAGTGACATTTAATTAGTATGTTAATTGATATCAAATTTGCTCTCACTATCTTGTTTTATGTTAATAAAATCCCTAAACATTTCTTCGAAGTAGATTAGGAAACAATGTGCTTCAAATGTACTAATGCAAAACAGCCTTAAGCATTGCTTCTGCTCATGGAACATACCTTCTGACTTAAATTTTGATTGCAGCTGTTTTACTTCGTCTATATCTACCCTTACTTTTTGCTAAGAATGTATTATATTTAGTAGTGTAGACCTGTCTTGGAATGGATTTTAGCTTTTCTAAGCCTGTAATCCCTTAGAAATCTATCTAGAGTGTGATAACTGTTAATAGAAATCTAGGGCTTCTTCTCTTCCCTTTGGCACCTACCGAGCAGAGATATCCAGGCACTATGGGGAATGCTCAGTGCCTCCATTTGACCAATGTGAATGATGTATTTCTGCACTTTCTGATCTGGGGTTTAGAAATCTGTGCTTCACGCATAATTCACAATCGCCATAAATGTTTTAAGTGACTGATTATTCTGCAGCAGTGAAATGTGCCTTAGTGTTACTTCGCACAAGGAAGGGTCCTCCTCTCCATACCCCCACCAAGGAAACAGCCCTGCTCTAGCTTGCACATTGAGCCTTCCAAAATTCTCATCTCTTTCTTTGATTGAAGAGAGCAACTATGATGTAGAAGAGATGCCTTTAGGCTTGGGTCCAAAAGGGACTGACTGGAGTCCAGGCTGACAGTAGCCCCAAGCTTGTCCTTCCTTCCAACCACTGAAGTGTTCCCAGTAGCCTCATCAAAAACAGGTGAGCAGACCAAAGCTGAATCTAGTAAGAAGGTTGTTTTCATAATAGTTAATTTGAAAACATACTGCAAAAAAAAACACATGAATATTCATATGAATTTTTAAATGAATTCCTTTCAGCTGTGCTCATGCTTTTTGTGTGTTAGCTTTCTGTGGAGTTTCTTCCGTGTTTTATTGGAGCAAATGCATGGAGAGACTTGGTTTCACATTCAGGATCACAAAAAGCTAATTTATTTAAAAAGTCTAATTTATTCTCCATGAACATTCACACCCGATTACTTCAGAAGAGTCCAACTGGGAAGCAGAAACAATGGTGTATGACCACACACAACTAAGCTACA